CAGGACCGTATTCAGGAAGAAAAACCTACTATGCGCCATAATGGATATCAAAAGTTGAACGTTTAATTATTTGTTCACAAATGACGGGGAAAAGCAGTTTATGAAAATAATATCCCGGAAAAGATTATTTAATGACTTTCGTTTATACCGAAGAAGCCTAAATACCAGGGCGCCGTGGCTGCTATGAGGAGCTTAAAGAAACTCTGGAATTTCATCAGTTAGATGAAGAGAGCTAGACCGTCAACGGCTTGTCGGTGCGGAAGCATCTCGAGACTGTCCGTTAGAGGACAGTCATCTATCAGTCGGACATCATCAAGCATGGATAAACGTACTTCTTAGCCCTTGACAAGTAGCCTAGCCTTTTCTCAGCAGCCGTCGCTGTTGATGAGATGTGGTCATGCCTGATCAAGTCCTCGGTGATCTGTGCTCTCTCTTTAGTAGAACTTGACCATCCGTTGAAGCCGGTTGAACGCATACAGCGCTTCTTCTTACTCTAGGTACAATGTTTGAATGATACCTGATGAACAATATGTCATGTTAGAGTGAAAATAAAAGAAATTTTTCTCTGAAAATAGCATAACGTTACTGAATAGTGAATCATGACGTTCCAAAGTTTCTCAATATGCTAGACTGGAGGGACTACCTCCTACAGTCCTGCATTTTATGGTCACTCTGCTCCCATAGTTGTAAGGGTACGTGGTCGCTTCGGGTATGTAACTCACTGATGAAATGTCGTATCGGTAAAAATGACTTCCCCATTTGCAATTTTCACTAATCGACCAGTAAAAATAATTAATCAAATGAAACTGATTGTTGTTGCATAAATTACGATATAGTTTTGAGACAGAGTGTTGTCAAATAATGTTAAAATAATAGCTACATTTACTTGCTGAGGGTAAGCGCTGCGTGAAGTATGACATTCTATACCCTATTCGTTGTCTATTTTTACGCCAGGCACAACAAAGATGCAGCGCGGCAAAGCAGCAGTCGCCTAAGCCTTGCAATATTGCAATAGCTATTGGTCTTTCGGCTATGAAACTACGTGCAAGATTCGACAGAATAGAACTCAGGCTCAGGGTATCGCCGGCACGCCGACGCCGGCAGGCCGACGCCGGCAGTTGCTGTTCATATTCGGTGCATAGATAGCGTGTGTTTATACCATAGCAAGTCGTCTACGGATACATCAAAAGCTGAGAATATTTCTCCTGATGCTTCCTTCAGCCTTCAGTGATGCCTCCTCCCCGAAAACGTGACAAGAATGGAATGGAATATTTAGACAAAAGAAATTCTCCTTATAAGAGCGAAATTCTAGAGTATCCTTAAACGAAAATTCATGATATTGAAAGACGTGTGTTAAAGAATATCAAGAAAACAAAGAAAATTTCTCCACAACACAAGAGGCTGCGTTACACTAAGCTGTTGATAACTCTGATCGAAATGGAGGAACTTTCCACCATAGACAAAATGTTACAGGAGGTTAATAGTGATGAAGACTTACCTACTTTTAAAAGGACCACATCCTATAGTTTACTCAAAGAACATCATTTTGTGTATAGCAAACCGGGTCGGAAATCGTACTTTGATGGACAGCCAAGAGATTATCTAGTGAAGAAGAAATTAATTAAAAATCAATAAAGAAATACCAGGACCAGGGCAGGAAGATTCACTACTTGAATGAAACCTGGATAAATGCAGGACATAAAAAACCTGAAGTATTGGCTGACTCTACTATTAAGTCGGCACGACAAACCTTCTATCATGGACTAAACACTGGCCTAAAGAATCCGTCAGGTACGTGTGTCCAATCAATTCGTCATTTCTGTTGTGAAAATGGTGTCAAGTGCCCACTGCCTTATGGACATTTGAGTCAAAGAAAATGACCGTCTTCCATGAAGAAATGGACTGAGTTCATTTGAACGATGGTTTGAAGAAAGGCTCCCAGAAGACACTAATTTCGGCGACGCCCTCGAATCAGAATGTTTTTATTTTTTTTATATGGTAGATGCATTCCTGAAATTTCGTTTCTGGATCAAATCAGATAGGTGACGTTATCCGTTCTCCATACACTAAGCAGACCGATTTTTGCCGTTTTTTCATGACCCTTGCCAGCTGCCGTTCTGTTGGCAACTTTTTTCCTGAATGTTGGTCTTTAAATATTGTATGATCCTTGGACGATTCACCAGAAAACTAAATTTTAAAAGACCTATAGAAAAAAATCACAAGGTGCCAAATCGGGAGGACGGGCCGGCCACTCCAAATCGTCCCTAATTGAGATGTAGCGCTATGGGAAATGTTCCGATTGAAGTGTCTTATTGGAGCGAAATGTCTCCTAAACCCAATTCATCTTGCCGTGCGAAAGAATTCCTCTAACATGTTCACATACCGCTTCGAATTCACTGTCACTGCGACTCCGTTTTCCTCAAGGAATCAGGGATCAATGATTCCAGCTGAGGGAATTGCACACCACTCTTACTTAAGGTGAGTAAAGGCTTTTGATGCAATGCTCGAGGATTGGTGTCAGCCCAATAGTACATCTTCCGCTGTTTGACGCATCCACACAAGTGAAAATGGACTTTATCACTAAAAAAACAGCGTCGTCAGGAACGACTTCGCTATCAACCAAGAATTAAAGTCACATTTAGAAAGTTGCTGCACAACTGTCATCTTAAAAGAATGGAAATGAAGATCATCATGAGAAAAATCTCTTCTCAGAAGAATAGGAAAGTCCAAAGGCAATGTTTTCAAGTGATCTACTGGGCCGACGGACTCCAATTCATTGTCTTGTCGTACTTTCAGTTTGTCTGAACCTAGTGACTCACGTAAAAATTGATTTCCGCTCCGGGACAAGGGCCAACGTGGCTAAATTTAAGCGATTCCGGGTTGCAATCTCAGAACATCCGCTTCAAAACCTCAACCACAAAAGCACGCTTCTCACTGTTGTAACGCATGATGACGACTTAACAGTGTCAGGACAAAACTTTATAGTACCGTCTCTCCGAGAAGTTGTGGTGCCGCACCCTGTATTTTATGCAATATTCTTGTAGCACGTCCCAAAGAAAAAGATAAATATTTTTGGAAGGTTCACATGAACACAGAACAAACTTTCCATTTGACCTGATATTTGATTGCGTTATGACTTCAACATTAAGAATTTTCCACTTTACGTCTCAGCTAGTCAGCTTTATATTTGTTTTATGAGCTCGTTATAAAGTCAACCAAAGTGAGTCTCCTAGTAACTGTGAGAAGCCCGCTACAAATAATAATAATAATAATAAACCGTCTTCTATTATAACAAACAAATTACAGATAATGGATATATTATTATCTATAATTAGATTAGTGAGCAGCTTAATGGCGAAGTTTAGCTATGACAGCTATTCTTACACTTAACCATTACCATTACACAATAATAGATGGTAAAAAGGTACAGCTGTAAAGAAAATAAAAGGAGAAAAATGCCCATGTAACTGATCACAACCTAAACAAAAATTAGCTTAAAAATATAATGCTCGAGAAAAACACCTTTAAGATGCACCATTGAGCAGAAGAGCTTTTGAGTGCTTTTTAAAACTATACAGCGGCAGGTTTTTTGTTCTGTAATCTAAGCTATTGTACAAAATGCATGCATTATATGAGAAGGACCTGTTAAAAACAGATGAACTATGAAGTGGTATTGTTAAAGTTACGGATATGCCGTTGATGAACATTATACCTAAAAATTAGATTTTTAACGTAAATAAATTGGAGTCAAGTAACTTATGTATAAAGGCTAGATAGTTGTATTTAACTAAATCTGTCATCTTTAACCAACCTATTAAAGGATAACGATCCGAAACATGATCAAATTTTCTTAAACTAAATATAAATCGTACGCAGCTATTTTGTACTACAGATATTCTGTTACGACTTGCAACATCCAAACAAGGATGATAAACTAGATTGCAATAATTAAAAATTGATAACACAAAAGATTCACACAAATTTTTTCGCACTTTAAAATTCAGCAAATTTTTGTTCGCATACAGAGTTCTCAGACGGAAGTAACTTATTAGTAAGAGGTTATTTAAATGTTCACGAAGCCGCACGTTTTCATCAATAAACACACCTAGACACTTGACAGGAAGATTTTCATTGTTAATAGATATACTCAAGGAAGCTTTGACTTCGGCTCTTCTGTGATTTGGACAAAACAACACAGCAGAAGATTGAGAAGCATTAACGTTTAGGCTGTTATTGGCTGAGTGGGTGCAAATAGAGTCAATGGGTGATATGCATAAAGGCGAGTGGGTTCTCAGAAGTAGCTACTCCATATTGTAGCGAGTAACTACTACTGTTAGGGAGAGCATACTCGGTTTTGATATGCATAAAATATTTGTCGAGAAACGGAGAGGCTACTCAAGTGCTAATGAAATACTTGAGTACGCACTCTGGTTTTCGAGTTCCGACTTGTATTTTGTTGTCTCGTCGAATTGGCAATTTCTCTATTCCGAGCAGTTACTACTGTATACCGGTAAACGTTTGTGTCGGTGGTGTTTAGGTCGATTATACCTATTCTGAAGACCATTCATCTGAAAATCAAACAGTATTTGTTAATATAATTGAACAGTATCCTGTTTTGTTGGAAAAATCTAACATCCCGGAAATCAAAAATAAACGACGTAAGGCGGCTGAAGAAATAAAAGAAAAGGTAGAAGCCGAATTAGGAGTTAATTATAACGAAGGGCAGATTTGTAAGAAGATTCAAAACATAAAAACCAGATTAAAAGCGAAGACAGACAGATATCAAACCGCAAACAAACCAATAAAATTGAAAGGATGGGAACAAGAACTGTTCAATTTTCTACAAGGAGAACCAAATCCTAGTATTGCTCGATTGCAATGTTAGTTGTATTTTTTTGTTTTTCCATACAGTAGGTATAAGATGTGATTGAGTATAATATATATACATCTCAATGAATATAAATAGCATATATTTTAAATTGTGGGTGCTGTTGTGGCAGGTTGCCCACAAAAAAGCATTGATTACACTCCAACAGCCAGTGCTGAAGAAGAAACAATCACCGAAGAAGCATCTGGAAGTTCAGGACCAGTACTGAAAGCTACCACAATGAAAGCCGGACCCAGTAAGGAGCCTTCTAAAAAAAAGGAAAACGGATTAGTGGAAACTGATGAAGCACGAGATTTATCAATAACAGAGCTCCAACGTCTCGTTTTACTTGAACAAATACAAGTGTTTCGGCTAGCTAAGGAACTGCTACTTCACAAGAAAAATATTAATGAATCTGATCCAAATTTATCAACTTTAAATGAAAGTGCAGAAACTGGCAATCCAATTTTCATGAGCCTATTTCCAGGACAGAACTGACAAAAGTACTTCATGTTTCATAAATGTTATTTTTTATTAATTTTAAGAACTTTCTCTTAAGTTGCCATTTTGAAAGTGTTATTAATTTTGTTATGAGTAATTAAACATCGTTCTTCAACGTATATCTACATAATTTGTAAATTTGGATCATGCTAGATACTTACTTAGACCCGATAGCCATGAATAATTCTTGATATTACATCTCTTCTAAATTGACCTCTCTGACGTATCACTCCATCTGCATAGTCAGCACCATGTTGATTATGGATTTCTTCTTGTTCGCCATCTCCCGGTATATCAACAGCAAAATCTTCATGATTAAGGTGCTTAGCCACATTATGCAAGATAAAACAACTCATGACAAGGGAGGGCACTTTTTCTGTATCGACGCGTATTTTGTTATGTGGAATGGGAAATCGCTGTTTTAGTTGCCCGAAACATATCTCTATTATAACTCGCTCTCTCGTAAACAGCCGATTGTATGATCTTTGTTCTGCTGTTTCTGCAATCCTAAAAGGAGTCATGAGCCAAAGAGCTATAACATACCCAGAGTCTCCCAACAAAACAGCACTAGCCCTATTCCATTTCATATATCAGAATTCTTCCATATCCGAGAGTCGTGTACAGATCCTGGCCAAGAAACATCCACACTTGTGAACTCTTCGTTTGAATTGCACGTTGCTTGTACATTTATACTAGCAAAGTTCTTTCTGTTCACATATTCGTTTGCATGAATAAACGGGTTCAGAATAGGTATATGGGTGCAGTCTATAGCACCAATAGCTGAAGGAAAATTGAAATTTTCTTGCCACTCATTTTTAGCATTGTGTAGATCTTCACATGTGGTTGGGAATCTAATCCAAATGTTCGACTTCCGCACAATGCGTGTTATAACGTTGGAAACGGTACGGGATGCCGTAGATTGATGGACACCAATAGCTTCTCCTATGCCAATTTGAAATCCTGGATCACCCACATATCGTAAAAAAACCCTCATTCTTTCTATATTGCTCAAAGCACCGCCCCTATATTCTTCTGTCTCTCCAAGAAAATGGTTACTTATCCACTCAACATTAACTTTACTACACCGATATAAGGCCCGATAGTCTACTTCCTTTAATTCCCTACGATCTTTAAATACCTTCGTAGGCTGATAAGTAGGCATAAATTCGGCCATTTCGTTCACTTCTTATAAAGCTGAGTCTACTACTAAGGTATCTCGCATTTCTTTAAGTATGCACTCAGCGGTCAGAGTGGACGCTCACTTTTATGCATATAAAAATTGAAGTCGGCACTCAAGGAGCGAGTACAGCCTCACGGAAAGAGTAGAAACTTATGAGTGTGAGCTTCTACTTACATTTTTATGCATATCAAATGGAGTGGCTACTTTAAAAATGCGAGTCAAAAGTAGCCACTCGCCTTTATGCATATCACCCAATGTCCTCGTTAATTTCCATAGTAGCAGTCTGGAGGTTCTCAGCATAAAAGTAGTTAAGTGTCATCCGCATAAGACTGTAGCTGTGAATTTTGAATGGACTTAGCAATATCGGCTACATAAATTAAAAATAACAATGGTCCTAATATTGAACCCTTTGGCACACCTGAAGAAATAAAGTGCTCATTTGACAAAACTCCAGAAAGTGAGACGCGCTGAGAACGGTGGGTTAGGTATGATTTAAAAAACTGCAGTGCTATTTTATCAAAACCATAAAATATTAGCTTAGCACACATCATATGGCAGATACAAAAGTCCGAGGAAACAGTTTTTAAGCAAAATTTCAGATATCTCAAGTACGGCTAGACCGAGGTATAGAATCATATACGTAAAATAAGCATTCTGAATCTACCAGCGGTACAACTCGTAGAACAACCATTGTGTATGCTGATTGGCATAAGATAACGTAAACCTTTTGAATAGTTGATAGATGTAATTCTGCGTGAGACATCCTGTATAAATAAGTGACTGGCGGTTGGGTAAACAGTTGATCTCCGATCTCCTCGCTAGAGTCACGTTAATAATTGAGTTCTGCTTAAACATCTTGTTGGACGTTAGACGTTGGAACTAATACGGTCCTGACTAACACTCCAACGAAGTTAAGACAAGGAGAGGAAAAAATATGAGGGGACTCAGCTTCGTTAAAACTTCCCGGTTTCATCTGCTGTACATTCGGCATACTTATTAAAAAAGTTTTCTTGAGTAAATTAATTCAAAGAGTTGCGCTGAAGATGTATCGGCGTGGCTACGGCTAGGTGGGGTGGTGAGTTGATGGTTACGCCTTAAGTAAATCCTTTCCAGGTCAAGTACAGATTATTGCATCGTTGAAAGAGCAGTAACCTAAATACGAGGGATCAACGGGTATTACGTATGTTGAATAGTTCGATTTTTTCCAGATTTATTAGATTTTTGTGGCGTAACTTAGATTTTTCTATGAGATGTTAGCTAGCTGTTGTACGCTTGTTGCGAACTTGTTTTGTAGCTGTACTTGTTGCATAAACGTCATGATGCTGCAGCTATCAATGTTTGGCTCTGATCTGATGGAACACTTGCTTCAGAAATTGTATTATTGGAGGTCTAAGGCCTTTATCGTTAGACGTTTCTACAATTGTACAGTATATTCAGATAAGAGATAGACCGGATGTAAACAAAAGGTTCGGGTGATTTTCACGCTAACGCCGCCGTCTCGACGTAAAACAGGAGCCCTCATTGGTCAATTCGCAATTAAATGCCTATGCCGAGCGGCAGAGCAGTCGTATCAAGGCAGAGTCACATTCAGGTTCAGACGTGTTACGTATGTCGTGTGCATCATTGCAATTTGATATTTCTTTGGACGTTTTCGTTTGTTATCTTATTAAGTTGTTGAGTTTGTCGTTGTTATTGTTATACCATGTTATTGATTGTTATTGTTATCAACTGCTTGCGCAAAATGCCCAGTAGTACAGATACTGCCGATGAAGTTGTAAACTCCTGTAGTCCACCTAGGAAACGCTCTAAAAAAAGACACCTGAGTGCAGAAATGAAAGAGGTCATTTTGAATATATATAAGATCGAGCGCGAGGAGAACGAGGCATCAACCATCAAAGAAATTGTTGTGAAGGTTTCTCACAAAGTTGGGGTGTGTCGTGCGTCAGTGTTTAATGTCTTAAGACAATACAAAAAAAATCACACCTTTTCTGAGCCAATGACCAGTAAACATCGCAAAAGTATTGTTAAATCATTGGATGAAGCTGATAAGCATGCGATTAGGAGGAAAGTGCATGAATTCTTCTTTAGGAATGAAATACCTATTATAGATAAAGTACTGCAGGAGGTAAATGGAGATACAACGTTGCCAAATTTCAAACGATCAACTTTCCATGCGTTACTGAAGCATTTAAATTTCAAATGGAAAAAACGGGGTCGTAATAGTTTACTACTGGATAGAGAAGAAATTGTGCTATGGAGGAGGGATTATTTAACAAAAATTGGGAAATATAGAAATCAAAACAGGAAGATTTGTTACCTTGATGAAACGTGGGTAAACGCAGGACACACTACAAGTAAAGTATGGGTTGATGATTCTGTAACTTCATCCAGGAGGGCCTTTCTAGATGGACTGTCCACCGGATTAAAAAATCCAGCAGGTAAATACGAGTAATAGACAACAATCGGATGTTTTTCAAACCTTGGGAACAAGGTTCTAAACATTAATTCCAGGGGGCAGATAAAACATATTACAAGTAACAAAACTTTTATAACTTTCGATAAAATGCGTGGATGTTTTATTGTCATTTTCATTTGTTAGAACTTTTTTAAGCCATGTTTTTATGTGTTTTCGATATTTCAATAATTTTTTAATATAATCTTAAAATATGTCGAATATTATAAACTTAAAAAAAGTTACTAAGTTTTATATTGTGTACCGTTCCTAATATTTCTAATCATTTTAATTCATACTTTAAGCTTTATAAAGTTATAATTTGTTAATATTAATATTTGCGCGTATTTCAAGTTCCTGATCATTCATTTTTTAAAGGTTTATAACTTTAAATTAAATTGTGAAGCGCTGAGTAATCATACGACGTTCAATATTCTTTCTTCCAATATGACTAAATAATCCCAATTATAGCAATCTGATACTCATGTATCAATGTTTTTTCGCTGAATGTGATGAAAACATTTGAAAAAGGTTCGCTTATTGAAATAAATCTACACCAGTTAGTACTTCGATTTCCAGGTAAAGGGAAAAGGCTCATTATCTGCCATATTGGCAGCGAGGATGGATTTGTTGTTGACGGTCTGTGGTACTTTGAGTCTAAGAAAACTGGAGATTACCACGAGGAAATGAATGGCGAATCGTTTGAACAGTGGTTTTCAAAAATTTTACCGAACTTAGAGGAAAACGCAGTAATTGTGTTGGATAATGCGCCTTATCATTCTCGAAGAATGGAGAAGGTCCCAACAACGGCTTCAAGGAAAGTTGATGTTCAAAATTGGCTCCGCTCGAAAAATATCAACTTTGAAGAAGCAATGCTGAAAGTACAATTATTAAGAATTGTCAAGGATCATAAGGCGGAATATCAAAAATACGCCATTGACGAAATCGCAGCAAGTCAAAATAAAACTGTGCTCCGTTTACCTTCATACCACTGCGAGCTCAATCCCATTGAGCTCATATGGGCAGAGGTTAAAAATTATATAGCTAAGCACAATACAACTTTTAAATTTTGTGACCTCAAAGGACTTTTCAAAGAAGCACTAGAATTAATAACAGGGCAAAAATGGGAAAACTGTATTAAGCACGTGAAAGACAAAGTTGAAAAGAGAATGTGGGAACTGGACAATATTTTAGAGGAACAAGTCGAGCCATTCATTATTGACGTTGGTCCTTCAGGCAGTAGCGATGATGAAAGCTCATCAAGCTCATCTTTCCAATAAAAGATGTCGTTCATTGAATTCGGTAAGTTATAAGTAATTATAAAGCTACTGTATTTTTTAATTAATTATCGACATTTTTGAACCC